TTTCGAGTTATTCAACTCTCATCATCAGGAACACTTGTGGAAGTTCAACTAAAATGAAATGCAGTCTAGTATTTGGTCATTATAACCAAAATAACAGCCAGGTACGCTAGCAGCGACATCTATACAAAGTAACAAGAAGTCGAGAGACCTCTCTTTGATAGCAAATTAGGTGAACCGCAAATTCCAAGCCTCTTACTAGAGGCTTTTAAACGACGCTAGAAGTATCCTTTTACTTCGACATGCATCTACGATTCACCTTTTGAAAAATACTATCTTTTTCGATCTTTACGTAGAGAAAGACGATTAAATGAAAGTAAAAGATTGCATTTCATTTCAATTGGAACTCCACCATTGCTCTACACGTATTTCGAGTTATTCAACTCATCATCAGGAACACTTGTGGAAGTTCAACTGAAATGAAATGCAGTCTAGTATTTGGTCAAAGGTGAATCATAGATGCATGTCGAAGTAAAAGGATACTTCTAGCGTCGTTTAAAAGCCTCTAGTAAGAGGCTTGGAATTTGCGGTTCACCTAATTTGCTATCAAAGAGAGGTCTCTCGACTTCTTGTTACTTTGTATAGATGTCGCTATAGATAACTTCCACAGTCAATATTATTGAGCCTTGGACTATATATGTGGAAGTTGAATTAAATCTGTACCTGTGGCTGGCTAACCAGCTACAACTTAGAGACTTATATTATGATATGGAAGGATCAACCTCTCTTGTTTGTTTGATTTCTTCGAGCCATTCACTGAAAGTAAAATGGTGTTTCCAAGCATCTGTTTCTTTCATATAACGGTCCGTCCAGGCAAGAATTTTTCCTTACGATATCATATCTTTAAATTTACCGCTTCAATGCAATACAGTGTCCGTTTGGACTTCAAGGACACTGTTTATTCACTTGATGGTTCGTCGGCTTTACAATGGGTTCCCATTTGCCGAGTGTCTTCAAATAGTGTAGAAGCTTTTTGTGGTAACTGTCATTACATTTTTTACAACATTACTACAGCAAACTTTTTCAACCACTTTAATAATGTTACCTAAAGTTAAAAATTAAACATTACATGTATAATAACCACATGGTTCTTTTGCTGTTCTGAGTTTGTGTTAAATTGTAAACTTTACTTAGTTTCAATTGATTGTTTATACAACTTAACTAATTAATGTCTAATGTCTCAAGCTTCTTTACATTTTATACCATTGACTGCTACATGTCTTTTTGAGGTAACACGTTTGTATTAACCTTTCTATAGATGTTTGGTTTTTCATATTATTCTTTTTAGAAGAACTGAGGATACTTTCTGATGAGAGAGCGAAACGTCTTCGAATAAATAGATGAAGTAGCGACCTTCTTGTCTTTTTTCTCCACCTTTTGACCGAAAAACCCACCAGGCTTCGAGTGATCCTTAATATTATACAGCTGCCATAATCGAGTTTAGAGCGAATAAGAGACCTATATACTTTTAATAGTGTCCATTCGCTAGCGCCTCATTGGTAGTGGGAAAGTTTTTTGATAATATTTAAACGTTTTAGACACTCTGCTTTAGTTTCCTGAATATGCTGTTTCCAAGAAAGTCGGCCAAGGGCAGTAAATCTATTTTGTAATAAGTCCACGGATGTTTGGAGAAGTCTGCAAGTAGTAGTGGCAACACCATGGTAATAAATTACAAGATCATCAGCATAAGTATTTAGTAAATTTGACTGGGAAGGGAATACTGTGGCATATATGGTTAATCGATAAAATGAATAATGTGGTGCTTAATACAGAGCCCTCAGGAACTCCGTCTTGTTGAACGTGGGGTGATGATACACAACCATTAACAGAGACTCTGAAGGATCTAGAGCTAACAAAGTGCTTGATGAATTTAAAAATATTTCCATTAAGGCCGTATAATAATAATTTATCAAGAATAAAATCTGTCCAGGTATTCTATCGAAAGCAACTTCAATATTAAAGATGCAGGCAATCACTTCTTGACTCTTATTAATAGCGTCGGCGATGTGGGTACGGAGGAGGACGAGGTTATCGCATGTGAAACAATATCGGCGGAAACCAGATTGTTCTTTAGGTAAAATTTGGTGTTTTTAATAATCTATAAAAGACGCCTGTTTATCATCTTCTCCATTCATTTGCACATGGTGCAAGTAAGAGAAATAGGTCTATATTATTGTGACAAAGTTGGAGTCTGGTCATGTTTTAGGAGTGGTCTAATTATGGATGTGTTCCATTGGGTACGAAATATTTGAGAGGACCAGATCAAGTTATGTCTAACAAAATAATGAGGCAGCGTTTGGGTAATTTGTAGATTTGTTTGATCCGATAACTACATTTCTAAAAGAAAATGAAATAACCTATTCAGAATTAAATGATGACAAGTGGTAAAAGACTTAATGTTTTTGACTGATGTCACCGAACATTTACAAACACTGATATGTATTAACTAACCAGCACCTGAAATAATTACTGAAAAGTGCTGTAACTGCTGAAAGAATTACTAAAAAGTGGTATAATGTCTGTAAAACAAATTTGTTAATACCTTCTGAGCATACTTTTTAATACGATGAGCTTTGCCAACTCTGGTATACAGCCATCGAAAAAAGTCATAATTTAAATAGGAAATAGGAGTAAAACGTTAGGAGTTATGAAAGAATTAATAAAGGGGAACAAAAACTGTACAAAAACCAAGTGTTCATTAAAATTGGGAACGAGGATCATAAGAATCTTTAAAATAGACTTGGAAACACACTAAAATCATGAAAGGAAAAATACAAAAATGGGGATACCACTGAAAAACGAATTACTATATACAAATGATAAGAAATCTACTCGAAAAATACACTCAGATTATTTCTAAACGCATTGGTATTTAAAAATTTATTTTTGAAATTTTTTTTATTATGAAAAGTTGTAAATTAATTTGTTTTTATTTTTAACATAATTAGCAAACTTATGTTAAAAAATGTATATTTAAGCTAACGTTCACGTAGAAAGAATGGCACATATTTATACAAAATAATACAACAGGTGTTGGAATAATCAATAATAATGTTTAAATGTTGATAATAAAAACGCTACATTATGTAACTTTTCCAAACTGGTTCTGTAACGATTAGTAAACCTACTTTATTTAAATTTACGTAAAAATATTTTAATACACTGACAAAAGAAAGATAATGTATGGCTAGTAATGTAATATTCTGGATTATGTAATAGAAGTATCTCGTTGTTCATGTCTTTTACGTCTGGTCTACTTTGCTTTATGGATGTAAAACCTGGACAATAAAAATAAAAAATCTAAATAGATTGGAAGCATTCGAGTTGTGGAATTACCGTCGCATGCTCAAAATCCCGTGGACAGCACACATATCTAACAAACGTGTGCTAGAAACCATACACAAACAGCGAGAATTTATCAACACTATCAAAATGAGAAAGCCCAAGTTCGTTGACACTGCTCATAGGCAATATATGCTCTTTTAGCTCTACTTTCCAAGTGTGAGTTCCATGTTAAATTCCTGTCAAGGGTAATACCAAGGTACTTCACCTCGTCAGAAAAATTTATACTGTAGTTTAGAATCCTTGGTGATATTAAGCCTGTGATTATTCTTTTTCTGGTAAAGAGGACCATCTCTGCTTTCTTTTTTTCTTTCTCTTTCACTATCTATAAATCTGAGGATTTATAGATAGTGAGTGTTCCTTGCACCATGTTTCTATTAGTCGGAGAGCAACTTGTAATCTCTCACATAGTGTGTTCTCAAACTTACTGCTTTGCAGGACAGCAATATCGTCTGCATAGGCTATTGTGTAGAAACCATTGCTGCTAAGTTGGTCAACCAGGGTAACTAGAACTATGTTCCAGAGGAGTGGTGATAGTACCCCTCCCTGTGGACACCCTCTCGTAACCATGCCTCTGACAGAAACGTCTTCTACATTTATGCTTATTGCTCTATTGGAGAGCATACTGAATATCCATTCGCTTATGGCCAGGGGAGCATTCCTGACGTTTAGCTGTTGGGTGATGGTTGGGAATGTGGTTTTATCAAACGCTCCCTCAATGTCTATGAATATGCCTAGGGTGGATTTTTTATTATCCAGTGATCTTTCAATTCTTCCCACTACATGATGCAGTGCAGAATCAGTAGATCTTCCCGAAGTATATGCATGCTGATTTGGGTGAAGTGGGTGGGAAGTAGTGATAATAATTTGAAATAAATTTTGTGAAAGTGTTAAAAACAAAAGTTTTCAGTGTTTTATTGTTAGATAAAATGAATTTCCATCAAGTAACGGTTGAATGAATCACTTAATATGTTATTTAACAATAATGGGTTTAAGATCACTCCTTAATAGATTTGAATTAACTTGTAGGTAAAACAATCCGATATGAAGCAGTTAGAGCTTTCAAAACATATCAAAAGTGTAGTAGAAAACATTAGGCTTGTAGTTAATACACAGGAAACTAAATACATTCCAGCAAAATCAAGAATGCAACAAAATAACATAAGATACAACATCAGTGGACGAATTCTGCTACTGAGGGTCACTGGTGAACCACAAAAACAATATATTTAAAGAAATAAGAAAGCGAACATGAATGACTAACTGCTTATACTCTGGTCTCGGACCTCAAGTAAGAACAAGGAATATGTCAAGAATAACAAAATACAAATTCTATAAAACGATAACATGCCCAGTGCTTACTTTTAGATCAGAAAAAAGGAAAAAACAGTGTGAGATGAGATGCTGTGAATCTACTGGTACTGATACAAACAAGGTCTATGGAGAAAGCGATGTAATTTGAAATTCTATAGAATTTTTCTTGATGCAGACATTGTTAAAACAATTTGATGGCGTCACATACACCATATTGATCTCAGCAATGACATTTATGGTGTTATTTTTGTGTTTCGTGTATGTTTAAATGTCTAATAAAGGGATAATAATAAAATACATGTATTATAAGTGATTAAAGCAATATTTTTGTTAAGAAGCAAACTTACCTCAGTATTTGTATAATAAGTACTCCAAGCTGCCCTTAAAGATTGCTGTCCTCCCAAATCCCACATAATAAAGTGTATGTTCCTCCATACAACTTCCTCAACATTAGAACCTATTGTAGGGCTAGTGTGAACAACTTCATTCATTAGAAACTGATATAATATTGTAGTTTTTCCAGCATTATCTAAACCAACAATTACTATCTTGTGTTCTGGAATCAAATAAAAATTATGGCAATAATATTTAAGTAACAGAAAGAAAATATGTAGATTACAAATGAAATCATCATCATTTAGATAGAAATAAACAACTGCATTTGCTAAACAGACAAGTTCAATATAATATTAAATGGAAAACTCTTTAATCATAGTTCATTTTTAAATGCAAACTTCTATACACAAGCTTGAGAAAAATTATTCTTAGATGAGGAATAAATTTGCATATTTTGGCACAAATCTAGCAACTCGTTAATAATTGAATACTACAAATGAATTGTTTGTTTATTTTTACATAACTTGTCATAAGTTGTTCTTCTTGAATCAAGTCTGTCTTTGATCACATGTGTGATAACTTCAAAATTTTTATCTTGAAATTTTGTACATAAGTTTCTGTTGATGGGAGGAAAAATCTTATGGTTTCTAAGAACTCTCCATCTGCTTCAGCTCAAAAGTTCCCATGTTAATTTTGCTTCTTCTTTGCGCTATCCTCATCCTCTCTCATGCTTTTTCAGATATGGGACTAGGGATCCATACCTTCTTTTAAAGCCACCATTTTAATAAATTCTCTATATAAAATATATTTCCCAAGCATGACTATAAAAGTATTCACTTCTGTCATCATTCCACCTAGTGCAACATTAATTTTTTTCAGTATTCAATCATTAATTGTGATAATTTCACAAATATTAATATGCAGTTCCTCTATACTTACTAAACTTCTATATAATGGCAGCCATTGCTAAATCACTTATGTTGTTAGATCTATAGTTAACCTGACATAGAATATTGTAGATAATTTGTTGTTGTATTGTGCTGATTTATAAATTGTATAGTTTTTTATTGATCTTCTTCAGCTCAAAAAATAATTAGATTTTAATTTTGAAGTATGCACTCTGGAATTCCCCATTAAAAGGCATCAAATGGTCTATAGTTTTGCATGTTAGATACTTACTTACTTTTTCATTTTTTTACAAACTTAGCATCTATCATAATGATTTTCATCTTATTTACTACTGCTCTAAAGAGCTCTCTCTTGATGTAACATATAATCATATTCTCTAGATCATACATATATCTATTCTGCTTTATTAGTGAAGTTGAATATCAAGCAAAAGCCAAAAAAATTAATAGGAAATGTTTGTAGCTTAAAAAATTAATACAAAAATATTTGACATGGTTTGTCAATAAACTCTCCATTTGTATTATTTATACAAAGGCTCTAACTATTTATACTTAATGAATTAAAAATAATTATATCCTAATATAGATACCAGAAGAGGAAGTTTTCAGATGAACCTGTGAAGAAATAAACATAGAAGAGTTGGAGGAGGGATTATCAAGAATTAAGACAAGAAAAGTAGGAGGAGCAGACAATATTGATCCTGAAATGGTAAAGTGGATAGGGAAGGAAGGTAAAAAATGGCTACTAGAAATCCTGAGAGAGGCATGGAGAACAGAAAGCATACCAAAAGACTGGGAAAATAATTTAATGGTACCTATTCACAAAAAAAAAGAGAAGAAATAGACTGCGAAAATTATAGGGGCATTTTTTTGTCATCTATAACTGCAAACTCTATACAAGAATAATAGAAAAAAGACAATGAGTAGCAATAGAGGAAAAATTGGATGAGAAACAAACTGCATTTAGAGAGAGAAGGGGGACAACAGATAATATATTCAAATTGAGAAACATAGTAGAAAATACGAAAATATGAAAGGGAGAAAGGAAAGGGAGAGAATGAAAAAGGAGAAGATTTATATATCATATTTGTAGATTTAAAAGCAGAATTTCATACAATAAATAGAAGAGAAGTATGGAAAATCCTAGAAAAAACGAGATGTCCTAAGGAAAATAATAAATCTAATTAAAAGCACTTATGAAAAAGTCACTGGCATGGTACAAATCAATGGTACACGAGCAAATGAATTCAGTATTAAAAAGGGAATAAAGCAAGGTGGCAGCCTTAGCCCAGTACTATTCATCCTAGTAATGGACGAAATTATGAAAAATACTAAAAGTTCCACAAACCATCTGCAAACTATGGTGGTATATTTGTACTTAATACCAGTAAGACCCTACAGACTTCTATATGCAGATGACATTGTACTAATTGCGAACACTAGAGGAAAGATTCATGAATTGATAAATATATGGGTGAGAGAATTAGAAAAACAAAGAATGGAAATAAACATCAATAAAACAAAAAGTATGATAGTTAAACAAAAGAAAGTTGATGAGCAAAACCATTCTCCACTTTACTGTAAGGAAAATCAAATTAAGAGAGAATCAAGTTTTGAATATTTAGGAGTAGTGATATCAGAAGATCGACCAATCAATTGGGAGATATCAAACAGAGTGAAGAAAGCAAACAACAGGATTTTTATAAAACAAGAAATAGAAAGAGAAGCTTGCAAACACTGTTCTATGCAAGCGGGAATTAGACATTAACATCAAAATGGACAGCACACTACACGCAACAGAAATGAAACATCTAGGAATAATAGCTGGTATGACAAAAATGGATCATATCAGAAGTAATTACATAAGAAGCAAATTTAAGCAGGAACCGATGGGATCTAAAATCAAAAGAAGAAAATTAAACCGGTTAGGAAACATTATTAGGATGGAATAGAGCAGACTGGTAAGAAGAGTAATGAAATCCAAGAGATACAGGAAGAAAGGAAAGACCAAGGATAGTGTGGTTGGAGGAATCAAAAATAGACAGAGAAAAAGGATAATCATTGCAACAAATGAAAGCACCAGCTAGAATGATAGAAGAGGTGAGTACAAGAAATATGAAAATATTTCTCCAATGACCAGACTTGACATTAAGGAGTTCCTGAGAAAGAAGATTAGCTCTGTTTTTATAAAATAAATATTGTTAATAAGTACAAAATGACAAAATATCGTTATGTTCTACTATTTAAAAAATAATCAGAAACAGATTTCCAAAAGTAGGGAAGAAAAAAATGTTCTGATTTAAAAAGTAAATAAAGCAATTTTAGTGTATTTAGTGGCGATAAAATCCTGATTAATGTAGTACTATTTTTCTCAGTTTCTGTGACTAGTGCTATGTATAAACTAAGAGAAGAATAAAATAAATAGGCTTGAAAGCTTGTAGCACAATCGATTGAACATAAATAAACATGAAACAATAATTCATGTTCATAGTTTAGTGTAAACAAGGAATAAAATCAAATGAAACATACATAAAGTATACCAATAATCTAAGAGACATCATACATAAATTGGACATAAAGAGAGAACCCCAAAGCACAGTATATTGCTAAAGAATTCTTTTACCATTAAACTGTGTCCAAAGCAAGTTTTAGAATGGAATTCAAGAAGAACAAGAAAGCCATAAGTAAATGTCTGAATTTGATTGAAGGGAATAAATCTGTAAATAAATAAAAAGAGCAGAATAGGAAGGACTTTGTAATGATAGGTAGACATAAAAATTCAGAATTAGCGAAATAGCAAAAATGTTAGGAACTGATAGGTATAATAGCACAGCTGTTTTTGTATAAAAACTGTGTTACCAATTAGAAAGAAGCTATTGTTTTAAAAATGATAATAATAATAAATGAAATATAATCTATTGAATGTTACCATACCTTCGTTGCCGAAAAGATTCCACAATTTCGCAAATAACAATCCCATTTTTTAACAAAGAGGCCCTATTACCTAGAATAATATGTTTATTTGATGGAAAAATGAGTTCAGTATATAAAAATTATCACAACACTATTCACACTATCTTTGAACTGAGTTCTTTGTAACATATTCAACAAAAAATATCACAAATATCACCAGCGTTCACTTTTAATTAATTAATTAGATCATTTTGTAACTGTCTCATTCGTCATAAGCAGACATTCCTCTTAACTGTCTCGTGAAAGTTCATTCTTTAAACGGAATAAGGAAAATCATATCATATGGAATGACGCAAGGTCCAAATATGACGCGCCTTCCTACGTCATACCAGTCATACTGTCAATGTCATCGTTTGTAGAACTACTAAATATGCAACCCTTTTTACAAACTAGTTTGAAATTCAAAGATATCTTACTATTAGCTCTTAACATCACACGCGCGCGGACTGACAGTCAGACTTTGATTGAAATATAGAATTTCTCGCATACCTCACACTATTTTCTATAGCCGCTTGGGATATCTTTATCCAGCTTCGGCTGGTTTATGTTAACAAAACATATTTACCACCCCAAAATAACCACATATATGACCAAGCCTTCCGTGTACGCACGTAAAGAGACATACAACGACAGCTCACAACCCCTTTCGATCTACAGGAACCCCATGAACATCCAATCATGGCCCCTGTAGATCAACAAACATTCGAAAACTTTTGCCAAATAGGCAACTCAAGCTCACCAGGGCCTGACAACATTGCAGGAACTGCCTGAAGCAACTTCCGCCAAACATTCTATCTAACGAACATTGTCAATGCCACTCTCAGACTCTGCTACTTCCGATCAACATGAAAAGTAACCAACACAATATTGCTCATAAAAAAGGGCAAACCCCGGACCGATCCAAACTCTTACAGACCGATTTCTCTTCTAAATGTCTCTTCTAAAAGTTTTCGAGAGAATCCTTAAGGAAAGTCTCGTAGACTTTACTACAGAAAACAATATCATCCCAACATTCCAATTTAGTTTTAGAGTCCAATTATCACACACATCTCACAAATTCTAAACGACAACAAACTATCATTAGACATTTGTCTAGATGTTCGAATTGGCCTGCTTTTCTTTTGTTAGATTAATGCGCTTATATGTCACTCACCGCAAAATCACGGTAAACGTCAAAAGTCATTTCTCTACCTCCTTTACTCCTACAGCAGGAGTGCCACAAGGTTCCGTGTTGGCATTAATACTCTACATAATACTATGAGGTTGCCATGTTCGGATTTGTTTAGGAAGTTAATCTTCGTGCATGCTTTGGACATGTCCAGTCCATCGGTACCAATATCCTTCTACTATTTTATCATTTACTTTCATGATTTCTCTTATTTTACTGTTAGTAACTCTCTCCAACTTCAATTTCGGAACGTCTCCGACCCAAGAACCATTTCCGTTGCCTCAAGTTTTTTCTTCTATCGTTCCTTTATCTGCCATACTTAACTGGCGTAGGTAATTATACTTTTAATAATTGAAGACCACCGGAGAAAAACAAGGAATGTACATTTTTGTCTAAAATCAAACTAATAATGGCCATCTGATGGAGAAACGAGCAAAGTTTGTGATGCACCAAGTTATCGGTAGACAATAACAAGCGATGGCAATTAAAAGCTGACCATAAACTTTTATTATACTTGCTAAGAACCAGAAGTGTTCGAGCGGAATTGCAAGTAACAAGGAATGTCAGTCTCGGGCACAGCGCAGCCGGTACGAGACACGTGTTTTTGTTTTGTTATCCATTCTGGCTTTAGTTGTTTTAGAAGTTATTGTGTGTCATATTAGTTTGAATTGTGTGGCTTATTTACTGTGATTATTAATATCTCTTGGGATACTTCTGTACCGGGTGCTTTTTCTCTCCAGCTTATCCAAAAGTGGTCATTTTGAAGTGATGTATCAAATTTATTATTAACGTATTGCTGTTTAATGAATACAAAGATCGACTTCGTGAAATATCCGAAAACATCGGTGTTGTTCAAAAATAACGTGAAAAATATTATTTTTACATTGTCCGACAAAATGTACTCGCCGATTTTTCCGCCCGAGAGTGAAAATCGGCTTTTCCACGAGTCTGCGGAAATTTATTAATAACGTTTTTTTTATGATTTTTAGATTTTAAATGAAGAGTTCAACTTAATGAATGAATTGTCCGACAAAAATAGGGCCTTTTATTTAAAAATTAAAAAAATTTACAGTTGAGATTACTTTTTGTAGAATGTGTGAGCATTAAAATTGTAGATACATCCTATTTATAAATAACAAGATGATTTTTTTAAAGCTACTTTATAAAATTTCATATTATGTAGAATTGGCCGACAAGAATCTTTTTCCGATTTTTCAGTCGGACCCGTTTCGTCGTACCCTTCGATGAAATTGAGTATATAAATTTTGTGTATATAAATTAAAGTTTGTGGAATTTCTCATTGAAGACTGGTGCAACCACGAATTTGCTGAGATATGTGAAGGAAAAATATTAAAATTGAATTATGATAATGGTTACGTGTATGAAGTTTTCAACAATCGAATGAAGAGATCTGTAGATTATAATTCATTTTGTACACATGAAGAAGCAGATACAAAGATTGTACACCATATTTGCCAGATGAACACGAACTAGTTCGTTGTAACGATTCTGACAAACCTATAATTATGTTATCCAATATGGAATTTTAAAAATCTAATGTGGAAGTAATTATTATAAATATGTCAACCAACAAAAAAAAAGGAATATTTTAGTATCAATGATATTTATCAAAATTATGGAGAACAAATGACGAGCTCTAACAGTATATCATGTATTTACTGGCAATGATTATAACCCTATATTTTATAGAAAACGAAAGAAGAGACCATTTGATATTTTAAAGAAAAACTAGAGATACCAGGTAGCCTTCCTGGATCTTTTAAGAATCCCTTCATCTGAAATGAATACTTCAAACCCAACATTTAAAGTCATTGAAGAATTTATTTGTAAAGTTTATTCCTAAAAGGCAAAGACGTCAACATGGAGCGAGTTGAGCTCTTCGAGAGGGCTTTTGGAAACCAAAATCACGATGAAATGGTAATAAAAGCTCCTTTAAGAGTTCTTGATGCATCAAGTGTGCCTCCATCTAAAAAAGTGCTATTGCAACAAATTAAGAGAACAAGTTATATATGCAGTATGTGGTGCAATACACATTTAAGATAACCAACAAATTTAAAACCTGAAAATTGTGGATGGACACTGATAGAAGAAAAATATTACCACCATTGGTTTGATGGCTCCCAGTGTTCTACATTTGATGATATTGTAACGTTTTAAATTTGTTTCTATCTATGTAATAACATAATATTTAATATCTATATAATAATATAAATTCTGTATAAAGTTTTGTAGTACGCCCCTGAGTATTTTTGTCCCGTAGTATAACCCGACAAGCGAGAGCTGGCGGGTTGCGTGTAGAACAAATTGAAAAGCGGAAGGGATTGCTCATTTCTATTGCAGTCGGCTAGGAGTTCACATCGTGTATAACTGTTTAAGTACCTATACTATATACCTATAATCGCGATTAAGTACCTCTCCTATCTCTCTTAGAATAATTCCTTTTTTATTTTCGCGCAGCTCACCCGCCAGCTCTCGCTTGTCGGATTATACGCATTAAAAATTACCAGGAAATCTACGTTTATTTTTGTAAAGAACGATCGATATATTATGGCGTTTTAAGTTGAGGTGCTTAAAAAAATATATAGCAAGTTTTGTATTCAGTTTTCTAAGACGTAATAACGCTGGGAATATTTCAAGGTTGTTTGACGAGATAGGCAAAATATAAATATTTTTGTCTTTATTTACATTCAAATCCCCCAATTCTCTGTATACATTGTAAGGTAGAAAATTTTCAAATTCCGGTTAAAACTAGGACGTTAAAATAATCAATATAATACGTGTTGTTTCTACCTATTTAAAAGTAGTATGTTTCAAGGTTATTTGGCGAGATATTCGAAGAGAGATGTTTATTTTTGTTTCAGTTCGTAAGTACGAACTGGTTCCAAGACGTGAGGGGAATTTGATTTGTGTCGGATTTGTAAAATCTAACGAAAGTTAGTGAAGCAGTGACATTCAAGCTGAAAAGACGTTTGGCGACTTTGAATCAACAGCCGGCATTTTTTGTGTAATGTCTTAAATTAAAAACCGGTGAAAGGTTATGATTTACTCTTTGTAATATGGCATTTTAGAACAGAGTAACCACATTAAGATTTGTGCAGTATACCGGAAACTGATGGAATTTTGATAGCAGTATATAGGGTGTCCCCACCAGTTTCGTTTATTGTCTGCTTGCTCCAACCTAGTTTGCGTCTTTGATCGTCGTTCCAGTTTACAGAAATGGTTTCCTTTGTTTCTGTTTGAGAATTTGTCCAGGTAGCTTCAATCCCAGGGATACGAGCAAGTTTTTTTTTAAAGTTAAGTGGCGAAATATGTGAAATTAAGGTAACAATTAATATATTAATTTTCAAAGTAAAAGAGACATTTTTTTAAGTATTGCTTTCATTTAAAAATTTGTAATAATTAAAATTATATATTATGTTAGAGGCGTAGCTAAAAAATGTCATAATTTATTCTGTCTTAAAATGTTGTGTTGACATATGTGTTTGGCTCTAATCTGTTGTTGTTGTAAAAAAAATTTGATTATTATATAGAAAAGATGTTTCATAGAAAAGGTTCAATTTTACGATATTTTCATGTACAAGGATATCCTTAATTTTAATAATCTATTTTGGCCACATTAATAAATAACCTAGGAACCATTTCGAAAATTTTTGTAGCAATCTCCTTTGTAAACAGATAAACACGTAAGTTTTTGTTAATTTTGTATTATGTTATATAGTATGTTTTTTGTGCAATCTGTATTTTTGATAATTGTTTGTTTGAGACAAAAATAAATGTTTGATTTATTTCTGATCCATTTTTTTATTTTAATTTAGAAAAGTCTCCTAACCCTTGTGTGTATTCTTGATTTTAGGAAAGAATTTTTCTTTCTCCCAGCAGGAAGTCTTCTCGAAGCGGCGTCCGAATAATAGAATATAGCTAGAGGTATTTCTTGTCTGTCCATATCTTGTTCGTTTTGTTCCAGAAGATTTATGTAAGTATCCCCTTGTTTTCATTTTGTAGTTACCCTACTCCGACCCATTTGATTCAACTTATCCACGACCCAGCTCCCCAACAAACTCCTGAGTGCCGTACGAACCAGTATCGATTATTTTGTTTGCTCCATCTTAACCCTTTAGTTTCTGTCCCCAATTTTCGACCCCCATGTTCTTACTCTGAGGTAGGTAAAATATATCGTTACAATATATCTTCAAATATATCAGGTAATAATATTTTATGCTTGTTATTTATGTATATTTGAAATATAGTACTTGTAAAAAATCATAATATTTTAATTATTATTTCAGATACGGAAAGTCAAAATAAAGAGAATAATAATACTAGAGAGTAATAATCATACAAAATATAATATAAAATATCTAATACTTACTTAAATACCAGTAATCCTTGTTATACGCATAATTCTCAATAACACGATTTAATAAATGTCAATTTTTTCATTTCATGCGAAAAATAACTGATTTTTTCATGTAGTGCTTCCGCACCATTTGATTTGTCGGCCAATAGTATTTAACATTAAATAATTATCTAAAAAATGAACTCTGTACTTAGTCCGACGGTTATTAATCAAATTTAAGCTTTGCGTAATATCTGAAATTTATATAGGTTAAATAAATAAAAAAATTGCCATCTTTTGTCGGACCACAATTTGGGTACATTATATTTGTCGGACACATATTCCATTTAGTATGTAAATTTTTCACAAACCCAATTTTTTTTGTCCGACAGTTATTAATAAATTTACAGACTCGTGGAAAAGCCGATTTTCACTGTCGGACGGAAAAATCGGCGAGTACATTTTGTCGGACAATGTAAAAATAGTATTTTTCACGTTATTTTAGAACGATACAGAGAAAATCAGCTTGTTATTACTACATTTTTTGTTGTTGTTTTTTTGGCATGTTTAGTTTGGTGGAATCCCTTATGGAACCAACATTTTTGTCGGACAAGATTTTTCATTTCAATAAATTGAAAGAATAAATTGCTGTAAGTATTAAATAATGTTTAAATTACAATATTTTTACAACATATTGTGTAATTTTAGATATCTCGACGTTCTAAACCTCTGACAGAGCGTGAATTGCAAAACATTGTAATCAATTTTGGAGAACTCTCCGATGACGATGATGAACCATTCGAAGCTTCTGATAGTGAGTACCTGTGTAGTTCAGAAGAAGAATCAGATTCGTCAGATTCAGAAGAAACGGTGGAAAATGTACGAAAGTTTTTACAGAGAAAAAAAATTAAATTAGATTCACAACCTACTCGTCATGTTCACGATAATATCAATCCAGGACCGAACTTGAATTCAATGCATGATCCAGAACAACCTAATCATAATCTTCAAGTCAAGGTAATATCGTTCCAGGACCGAACTTAGATCCACACCGTAGTGAAGATCCAGTACCGAATATAGAACCAAATTGGGGTCCAGTAGTAGGTAATTATAAGCTAATAGCACCTTTTTCTATTCCGTCAGGAGTAAATGATGAAGTAGCTGCAATGTTGGCAAATGGTACGCCTGGAGACTTTTTGATGCTGTGGTCGATGACAGAGTAATTAGTCTGATTTGTAACCAAACAAATATATATGCAACTCAGTCTGTACTGACTGCAGACGCAACACCAAGCTCTCGCTTACATGACTGGATTCCAACGACAAATATTGAAATTAGAAAATTTTTAGGACTGGTTGCCTGGATGGGTTTAGTGAAAATGCCAAAAATCGCAGACTATTGGAGTAACGATAACCTATTCTACAATAATTTTGCGAAGAATGTAATGTCTAGAAATCGATTCGAGATGCTGTTAAGGATGTTTGTGATAAACTGTATAAGTTAAAGCCGCTTGTCGACATTCTGACTGCAAATTTTAAGTCTTTATACGTGCCGGAAGAATATGTCTGCATCGATGAAACCCTATTACCCTTTAGGGGACGCTTGGGGTTTAAACAGTACATTAAGACAAAAAGACATAAATATGGTGTAAAAATTTTTAAAGTATGTTCTGGATCTGGATATACTTACAATTTCAAAGTATATGCAGGGAAAGAAAATAGTTCTAACGTCACTCCAGAAAGCGTTGTTCTGTATCTTATGGAGGATTTAGTACATCAAGGAAGAACTCTGATAACCGACAATTGGTATACAAGTTTACCGCTAGCAAAAAAAATGTTGTCCGTCGATACACACCTGATCATGGACGAGTTATACGTCCATGCACCTGATAGAAACTGTTCGAAAAAATCGAAAATATTTACCCCAAGAAGTAGTAGCTGCAAAATTAAATAAAGGGCAGATTGCTTCTATGGAAAGTGATGATGGAGTGACCATTACGAACTGGAAAGACAAAAGAAATATTTACATGCTTTCTACTAAACACGGCAATGATATGGTCGAAGTATCTTGTAATCGACAAACTAAACTGAAACCCAAGGTGGTAATAGATTACAATAAAGGCAAAGCGGCAGTAGACTTATCTGACCAAACAAGAGCGTATTCCAACCCCCTAAGGAAAAGCGTAAAATGGTTTAAAAAAGTGGGGTTTGAATTATTATTAACTACATCAGTTATAAATTCTTTTTTAATATATAAGCTTGTAACAAATAACAACATGTCGGTGACAGATTTTAAAAAACAAATAGTGAAACATCTAGTTACTTGTAAAGAAACCACTACTGTACCACGAAGTGTGTCAAATAATCACCATCAGCTTGAACAGAAGGCAGACGGAAGTAAACATCAACGAAGGAAGATTTGCAAGAACTGCTACAAAAATAATAGTGAGCAACACGGCCGTCAGTATGCTATGAATAAAACTAAAAAGGTAGACACCTTTTGCAAAAGCTGTGACAAGGAACCTTTTCTGTGTATAGGTTGTTTTAATGAATTACATAGAATTTAAATAACTTTTTTTATTGGTTGTTTTACATTATTTGATTTTTCTGTTGTTAAAAAACATGTTTGTATCAATAAATATCATCCCAAAGTTGTAAATAACGTTTTTGACTTATATGGGACCACATTTGTCATACTCCATAAATCGCACAAATTCTCTATACAGCACATAGCTTGTAGGCCTCGTTGGTCCATTCCCATGGTGATTTAATACTAAATAAACACCAATGGCTCGGTACATATCGGAATAAATGTTGGTCCCATAGGGCCAACATGGCCTGTTAATGCAATACTTGCGTTGGTCCCATTGGACCAACGTGGCCTATTGAAGCAACATCAGTGATGGTCCCATCGGACCAACATGGCAGCGAACGTGTTAATTTACCTTAATCATTCTACTATGAATAACAACCATTTTTTGCTTTGATAAAATATTTATTTATACAAAGAATACTTTTCTATTAAATGGTTCACTGTTTTAACAAAATATTAAGAGAAACGTAACAGAAACAATGATTCTTATAGTTATAAACTTATTAGTTTTTCTTAGCTCTTGCACGTCCCCCTCTTGCTCTGGACGTAGTTCCTCTACCTCGTGGAGTGGCTTTTTTGTTTCCAAATAAACCGAATGCACTTTTACCATTGTCATCATCACTGTCGTCTTCAATTACCTGGACGTCATCATCATCTTGTCGAGATGATCCTGCTCCTCTACCTTTTCGCCCTCTAGTAGCACCTTTTGGTTTTGCAGGAGATTTTTTATTTTTGACGATTTCGTCATCACTGTTATCATCTACCATATAGACATCATCATCATTATCCTCACTAACCTTCTTCTTCTGTCTTTTTGGGTCTTCCAAAACTTTATTTACAAAAGTAAGAGAGTTTTCTTCCATATTACTTTTTATCGTTTCAATGGCATTCTCAGTGTCTTCAATTTCAGGAAGATCCTGTTGGAGTTTTTTAAGCATCTCTTTAATAATATTTTCTCTTATGTCGACTATTGCGCCAGCATCACTTGAGTCAATAAATCTCTTTACGGCTTCATTTATTGTATTTAATGGAAATAGTTGTAGATGTTTATGTTCCGAAAAATACTGAGAAACTAGATCTTCAACTCGCTCGACTAATACTGGCCCTTCCAAAATCTCATCGTCTACTAAATCTTGATTGAGTCTCCTTCGTGTAGAACATTCTTTAATTACCTGAAATTTGACCATGGTATCAGGATTTGCTACTTTTTCTGTATACATCTGTCCAAATCTGATAGAATTAAACACGGCTCTCTCATTTTTATATTTGACAATTAACCTGATCAAAGGCTTCTCGCTAACTTTTTTAGCATGTTTTAAGTCCTTAGCTTCCTTTATCATTTCGTCTATTTTGGCACATACAATTTGCATAGCTTGTTCACTAAATGAGCTTCCATCATTACCCAATCGATTTTCATCACTTAAATTAATTTCTGCATATTTAAAAGGCCTCACTGTTTCTAGTTCCACAGGTTCCATCTAAAAATAAGAAAAAATAAGAAATAATTAAAATATTTAAAAATTATTAAAACCATCTGTTTGGGAAAGTATGTAGTATTTATTTTCATATTTTTATATTTAATATTTTTCTTTTACTGTACTATAATTTGATCTAATTCAATGGTATATTCTAACGACTTTGCTTTAAAATATATTGTTTCCTGGTATTTCGTAAAATTGCATTGTTAAACTAGCTAGCTTGTAACGATTAAAACGTTACATTTTTGTTCTGATTAATTTCAAAGTACTATTCATTATTTTCTGCTCGTACTATTTGATTCTCGTTGATAATAACGTCTTTTTCCTTTGTTTTTATTCCTATAGATGCTTAATTCTCTGTTATCAAAACCTCAATTTTTAATCATTATTAAATTCTAATTTGTTATTTTATTAATTCATGAATTAATAAAGAGATGTGTTGAAAACCTATTTTATTAATAATTCCCGATTTCTCCAAAATTAATTAGTTTATGCCGAATAACATCCCGAAACCATGTGCATTTTCTTAAATCCAAAACAATGTGGATTTTCTTCACCAGGTGGCTGGAAAAACAAAAGCCGATATAAAATTTGTCATGACACGAGTTTTGTCCAACAACAGAAGAATTCTGGCAAGCGGAAAGCTCTTCTCTCTAAGACCTGCATACCGATTCAAACTCTCTGAAGTTGCCAAAACTCACGAATTAGCAATTGCAATTAATAGATTAATTAATTATTAAATGGAAAACGAAAAAGCAAAGTTGTACGATTCATGTTAGTGAGATTTATATTGAATTATTATTATTATTATTACAGCAAGTATAGGTAAAAAGAAAATAAAAATTCTAAGCGGTTTTTAAGTGCTAGCGTACACAAAATTATAAGAAAAACTAACAGTGCTCATGTACTTGATTAATGTATGATAATATGTTGTCGTAAAAAGAACAAAGTACTAAACTTACCCAGACTGTTGGAAATTTCTGACCACGAAGATTAATTTTTATTGAGTACCTTGTTGGTTGCTGGTTTATTTGAAAAAGGAAATAAATCGAATCGGATTCATACAAGTGAATTATTTAGTAGTGGGGTTTATGTTTCTTGTATGACAAAGTAAACGCAGGTACAACTATGAGGGGAAATAAGAAATTAATCGGTGAATTTATTTGTAGTAATAAAATATTAAAATGAAATATAGAAATAAAAACAAAGGAAAAAGAAGTTATTATCAACGAGAATCAAATAGTACGAGCAGAAAATAATGAAAAGTACTTTCAAATTAATAAAAACAAAAATGTAACGTTTTAATCATTACAAGCTCATTTATTCTGTTTTAATTTCGGAGAATTTATACATACGTAGTATATTATTCCTTTGCTTGACTGATTTAAAAAAGCCTTTGACAGAGTAAGGCTGAAGGACGTTATTAACCTTTTATACAATAGACAAATACCATTAGATAGTTAAAATATAAAAAAGTACAAAATATAAAAGCATTTTCTTCCATTTTTTTATGAAATTTCGGAGTTGATGATATTTAGCATAAAACAGATAAACTTTTGTTAATATATTTCAACAAAAATAATGTTTCCCATTTATATTTAAATATTAATTTTATTTCAAAACTTTTTAACAATATCCCTAATCTTTTGACAATCAGTTTATTGTTAAGAGAAGGCGTATTGATATTTGAGAAATAATGCCAGTTCAACTATATACTTACTTTAAAGTTTGTTTCATAAATTTTCAATATTCCTACTTTTTTAGTAATTGATTCGCCTTCAATTAAAGAAGTAGCAACTGAACTGCCTGGTTGAGATATAAAAACATCGTTAAGCTTCCTCTCTGGCTCTATTCTACAATCGTGTTCATGTCCCCAAATTACTAGATTTAAAAAATCTGGAAGGCAGTCATCCGGTATAAAATTCTTTGCTCCTCTTGTGGCTCGGTTCTGATGCCAAACCAGCAAATGAAACCAATCATCTTTGTCCTTTGGAGACAACATTTTGACTTTTCCATCTAAAAACAATCTTCCTAATCTTTCATCTCTAATATGGGAAAGTCCATACAGAGCTAATTTACTTTTCCCTTTCTGTAGTAAAATAGGAGTTATGTCTACTTTATCTAAATTTTCCCATCTGCCAAAATAATTGACAAGTCCAGAGGTTGATATTATATCTAGGGCTGATATATGCTTCTTGCCTAAAATAGTAATTTATAAAATTAAATAGTAAGAAATATTACAGTGCATTATGTAATAGTATTATCAGTGTTAAAATGCGTTAGGCTTTCACGGCCATCGTCTAACTTGTTACGCTGTTTGTTCGAGCGGTTAGACCGTTGTCTTCTGAGATTAGTTCTCGACGTTTCGGCTTACAAGCGAAGCAGTAACATCTCCAGAAGATGCCAACCCCTAGTGTTGGCGAAACGCCGAGAACTAATCTCAGAAGACAACGGCCTAACAGCCCGAACAAACAGCCTAACATATTATCAGTGTGTTTAGTCAATCACTGATTACATAATTACAGGAAATATAGAGGAGCCAATATTACAATTGATTTATGTACTTGTTAAGGGAAACATCGCATACATGGAAGCAATAAAAAATGTTTAATTTGTAAAGATCCAAAAAATATATAAAGTAATTCCTTTTAATTCGCGTATTTCAAATTACATCATGTATAAGGTTTCTATCTACATATTACAAATTTTCGAAGAAGAACACTTTATGTCATTTAGAACAAGAATAAACAAAGTTTAAGTGTTTATTTTCAAACTGCCTTCAGTAAAACATTTTCTCTTTAAATTACTCAAGCTTCTATAAGCATTTATCGTTGTTTTTAAACCGTGTCTTAAAAGCGAAAATTGGAATAATCAAAATTGAATCATTTATGAATTAAAGAAGAGAAATAAACGTAATTATAGGCATTTGCCAGATGCTTCCTGTCAGATTCCTCGACTAATGACGTTTTTGATTTTACTTCCGGATGAGATCTTAAGGAGGCCAGGTGGAGTTGAAAGGCCGGGTACCCCAGGGATCTGTCTTGAGCCCGACGCTATGGAACCTGGCATATGACGGGGTTATGTACTGTGAATACAGAGAGCGTACAACCCCCTTCGCATTCGCGGATGACCTCGCTGTACTAGTAGTGGCCCGGGATGAGCCAAATCTCAAATACCAGGTTCGGAATGCAGGCCGCGTCGTAAAGAAATGTATGACGCAGAACGGACCGAAACTTGTGACAGAGAAATCCGAAGCCATAATTCTGAAGAGGACAAGGAACAGGCAAAGTGTTGAATTGCAATGTGCGGGAGCATGTCTAACATCAAAGAAACAAGTAAAGTACCTTAGGAGTGACATTGCATCAGAATGGAAAATGGGGGGAGCACGTGCGGGAGGTGGTCAGGAAGGCTGCGAATAGTGCGGCTGCGTTTAGGTGGGTGATGCCCAACATTGGAGGAACCAAATCCGATAGGAGGAAGAAGCTCATTTCGTATCTTTTGTGAAGCCAAGTATCCATGAGCCCGTCTTACTTACATTAGATGGACATTTATCGCACACCAGAAATCTCGACGTTATTGTTAGTGCAGAAACAACTTTGTAACCATCTTGTGTTTACCTCCCCACTGCATGCACAAGCTGCAGCCGCTGGACGTTAATGTTATGGGTCCACTTGGCTTTTATTTAGACCATTATTAGCATTAGAAAAATCGTTGAAACCATCATCCTCTTAGAACCGTGTCAGTGTTTCAAATTAGTAAAATATTTTGCGAAGGTTACTTAAAGGCTTGATAATCTGATAAGATTGGTTAAGGCTACAATACGTAAAATTGTTTGCAAAGTCGAAATACAGGGTGAACAATCATAAACATTTGAAACGCATGTTGGGCTGCGACAGGGAGATGCGCTAGCGTGTCTCCTTTTCAACAAAGCTCTGAAAAAGGCGGTCAGGGATGCCCAAATAAATAACAGAGGAAACATTTTTAATAAACCATCCCAAATTTTGGCATATGCAGATGATGTTGACCTAGTTGCACGCACAACACGCAAACTAGAAGAAATGTATACCACCTTGTCAAATGCCTCAAAAAATATGGGCCTGCAAGTAAATGAGGAGAAAACTAAGATAATGGCATCAACACCAAACAATAGAGACAGAAACATCGGCTACCAATTCACTGCTGATAACTCTACCTTTGAAGTGGTGGACAAATTCAAATACTTAGGCTCCCTGATTACCAAGGAGAACACCATGACGGAAGAAATCAAGCGAAGAATAATCCTAGCAAACACATGCTATTTTGGATTAAGTAGACATATGAGAAGCAAAAACTTAAGCCAAAAAACAAAAATAACCATATACAAGACCCTTATACAACCAGTGTTGACATATGGATGACATGGACCATTTTCAAGGCAGATGAAAACCTCCTGCTTATATTTGAATGAAAGATCCTGAGAAGAATATTCGGTGGCATCTGTAAAAATGGTGTTTGGAGAAGGAGGTACAACTATGAGATATATCACAGATATAAATATATATTTGGTAGTAAAGACATAGTATCTCTTATAAAAATAGGAAGATTAAGATGGGCAGGACATCTGGCAAGATCACAGCAGAACAACCCTCCTAGAAGAATCCTTATGTCACAACCTGTGGCAAGTAGAAGTAGGGGTAGGCCAAAACTCAGATGGAGGGATGGTGTAGATGAGGATGGTAGAAAAATGGTCACAGCAAACTGGCAACAGTTGGCAACTGACAGGCGTAATAGACTTGGGAAGCTTGAGGCTCTTTTATAGGGCTGTAGCACCAATGATGATGATGATGATGATGACGGAATGATATGTACCCAAACAGTTTATGCATAAATAATGGCGTTTAATGCACGAGAAACGTTCTTGCGGCCTTTTAGCAAAAAAGAACGGACATTTATATAAAGGATGAAAACCAGAACACAATACACATTTACCCCCCTTTATTAGTTAGCGATGTGATAGCGAGTGAGACCTAGTAGAAAGGGTTAATGAATCGATACTATCATCAAAGCTATACCTACATTGTCTTTCTAGAACTGAAATCAATTGCCTGTAAGTGAAAATGTCACAGCTTCGACTGTTTTCTAACTCAAAATCTGTACGAGTTTTATTGTCCAATTTGTTCGACAACATATTGAATAATAGAAAATCCCATTGCCCAACTGGGAAATCAAGAACACGTAAAACAGCAACATTTTCGGTGAAAGTATTTAAGAGACTTCTATAATTAGAAGAACACTCAACCAAAGTATGAATGCTGTTTTCTGTAAAACGTATTAAAGTTGCTGGTATAAAATTTAATTTAAAATAACGAAAAATACGGAAGAAATTACGGAAGAAATAAGTATGTATGAAAGTCAACTAGGTTGGTTCCTTTGTTTTTAGGACCTCCGTGCATAGCAATAAATTAAATTTAAAGTATCATCTTAAAATTTCTACACAAAAGACGGGTACATTTGCTTAAGGAATCTGTATTCTGGGTTGATAAATAGTTTCCCAAAAAAATGTTCTGTTTAGACAAGTGAATTCTCAGAACTTGACAATAATGAATCAGCCAAATTGAGTGTAGGAATTTAAAAGACGTGTAACTAAAGCCATCTAATAATAAGTTAATATATTACAATTAATTGAAGATGTATAACTAAATAAGGTCATATTTTAAATCATAAAAATAAGATATTTCAATAAATCCCAAATACTTTTCCAAACAAATATTGTTTTTACAAGTGAAAAATTATAAATAAGTAAGTATGTCGTCAAAGATTAATTTAAACAAATTAGGTAAACAAAAATCAAAAAACTTTTTTTGTTTTAATAAACCTATTATATGTACAACCAAGGGATCTAACATAAATAAAAAAGTTCACACCTCCTTATTTACACAGACTTTACACATTTTTTCGGTACATTCTAAACAGATAGGTATGTTACAAAACCTACAAGCCCCAGAAGTCTTCTTGTGTTTTGTTCTGGGACATTTTCGGCATCATTTTTCTTTTATTCTCTGCAACATAAGTCAATACTGGATTAGTTTCTTTTCAAATGGACCTGATTGTTAACCTCAATTATATCTGTAAGGAGTTGATGGCTTAGTCATCGCCTCATGTTTGGTATTATTAGACCTGTGCTAGTCCTCTTACATATTGAAAACATGTATGTTCATTTCAGATTGTGCAGGAGTATAAAATGTATGAGTTAACAAGAGATATACACTCATGGACAAAAATATCGAATATTTTGGAATTTTGTAATTTTTGTTTTTTCAATATAAATTCTGGTCAATCAAGTCATTTATTATGAAATAGAGTTTATTTTAACAATGTTTAATGAACAATTTTATGTTTTTATGCGGAGAAAATTGCGAAAAAAATAAATGCCTAATATTAGGTACATAAGGTTATTTTACTCTAAACTTAAACACTAATTAAAACTGCCTAAACAAGTCATTTTAGCTGAAATTGCATGATCAGTAACAAGTATTACCCCATCTAGCTTTTATTACTGCTTGCATCCTTCTCGGTATGCTTGCAAGTAAATTTTGGACATATCCTTGGGAAATTGCAATCCATTCATCCAGCAAGCCGAAGCTGCTCTATCATATTTGGAATGAGATTTATTTGTCGTATAAGGCGTTTTAGGTGATCCCACATCTATTCTATTGGATTTAAATCCGGGCTAAAAGGTGGCTAATCCAATCTTTGAATTTGGACCTCATTAAGATAATTACGCACTATGGCAGCAGCATGTGGTTGAGCATTATCGTGCATTAACATGAATCTTTCATATCCAATGTAACCAACATATGGGAAAACATGATCTTGCACTATGTTTTAAATGTAAGAGTCACCAGTCATCCGTCCAATCACTTCTACGAGTGCGGTGCATCCCTCTCAACTAATACCTTTTAAAGAATTATGCCACCACCTCCAAAATTAACTGTCTAAGCGAGATTGCAGCCAAAAGAATCAATCTCCAACTCTTCTGTGGATGTGGTTTTAACCATCTGGCTTATATAATAGGATTCTGGTCTCATCAGTGAGAAGAATATTTTTTTAGTTGTCGATATTTTACTGAACATGTGGCCTTTCAAATTCTAAACGACGAGCTTTATGATTGTGGAGAAGTCATAGAACTTTGGCAAGGCGTCTGGGTTTTAAGTTTGCTTCTTTTAATCTTTGTCTAACCGTTTCTGAACTCACATTGACTTGTCTAACATTTAATAGCTCATTTCTGAGGTGCATCGATATTAATGAATGATATCCTGTAGAATTAAAAACCAAAAAATGACCATCAATTGCAGTTGTACACCTTGGGCGTCCTTGACCAGACCTTCGTACAAAATTTCCGGTTCACAGTACCTTTTTAAAGTATTTGAAACTGTAGGTTGACTTCTCCTGAGACATTGTGCGATATCTTTTTGTGCATATCCTTCTTCTTACATAATTACATTCTGTGCTCCTTGGGCTTCATCTAAATGTCGAATTGGTGACTTACTTATTTTAAACTTGTTAAATCAAAACAATATTTAATTAAACTTATTAAATTAAACGAAAAATAACCGAATTCATATGATCTTTCCTTTACATGAAAAAGGTTTTTTATGATAAAATGTATGAATGACACTAAATGCTGAATAAATGTCAAAATAAACGTCCAAATATTTCAAACCAGTTGAATACATCAGCCTACTATATGAGTATCATCAGTAATCTAAAATTATTTTGAAATAATAGTGACAAAAAAAAAATGGAAATTTCCAAAATATTCGATATTTTTGTCCATGAGTGTATTTAGCAGATGATAAAAAATAGCCATAGGCCATCATTGCATTCTTCAACAGGAAGAAAAAGTCACATATTTTTGATCCAAACTATCTACTGCTCCTTGTATTTTAGAACTGAATAATCTTAGATTTTCTGGATTGACTATAAGTTGATTTAGACCTTTGGATGGATGATATCATTATAACAGCCTTAGTTCATTTTGGCACATATTATAAAAGTGTCATTTCTTTTATAAATCCATATATTGATGACTATTTTATGCGAATTTTATTTAGGAAAAGTTACTCAAGAATTTCTTCTTCATTATTTTTAAATGTTCCCACATATGTAATTATCTCTTTCACCACCAGAATAGAACTGAACCAATTATCTGCAGTAACATTTCTCTCTTTCAAGTGACTCTATTTCCTTGTTTAATGTGGCCTCTCAAGATGGCACTTCCTGTCTAACAATATTTTTGCCCTCACTACCTTTACATTCCCTTTTTTGTCTTTCTGCTAGATAAACAAAACACACATCTCCTTGGTGTACCAAATGGCATTACATCACCAGTTGAAGGCCAAAATAGACTCATTTATCACAACTAGGAAAGAGGTACTGTATACAATCTCTCAACTGTGCAAACCATTCTACTGCCTTAATAATTCAACAGAAAATCGAAAGTGATATTGTCAAAGTTATGGACATTTTAAAACCTGTTAGTGGTGATAACAGTTTGCAAGTTACAGTTAAAGTTATCCTTAATAATAGCGATGATGTTCTCAATATATTAAAAAATAAAAAAATGAATGTTAATGTTAAAATATGTTCTGATCAAACAGGGCTTCAAAGTAACTATCTCCAGTTTTTACAAAACTACCCTGTTTGGAGGCAGGCCACTCAAGTAGAGTACCTTCACAACTTCTGCTTGTTGTAAAAGGTGACTAAATTGAGTCTGCTGTTCATTGTTCAAGTTCCGAACCTGTTCCTGTGTGATAGTAAATACTCCCAACTATTATATGACGCCCATCCCTACCCATCATACATATCCTGATACTCAAAACTATAATGAGGAGAAAATCTCCATTAATACAAAATCCAATGGAAGGAACCACTGAGAATAAATGGATATGCATAGGGGGCCGATGGCTATTTATAATTTTAATATACCACTACCCCAACCTCAAGGTGTAACACCACTATACCAAATGGGTGTATAGCACAAGGGGAAAAGTGGATCTAAATTGATACCCAAAGGAGGAGGCGAACCAGAGGGGATTAGTTAGAAATGAAATAGTTAGCAAATTAAAGAGACAATATTATGTTATGATGCTGGTTTAACTGCTAATATAAAAATGCATATATTGGCCAGGCAATGATTAATTTAATGCACCCAACATAATCAAACTTATTTGTGACATTTAAATAGCCAACTAAAAATTTACAAATACCATTCAACAAATGGATCTTAAAATCTCCCATTTATTGATCACTTTTTTCGTCTAGTAATTAATCACACAAAATCTTCAATAGTAAAGTTGTCACGTCTAATACTTACATCTAGGTGTGCATAAGTTTTTTAAAATTATATCTACCTGTAGGATCGTCATGATTGCCATGTATAGAAAATACTGGAAAAGAAACATTCAAATTTGGATCTTCGTAATTCACAGTTGCATTTGCACTCTGGCTAAAATTTTGTGAGGGATTTGATAAAAATTCTATTGAAACAGGTCTATCTCCCAAGCAATATTTTTTCATGAGTTCTAAGCATTTGTGAATGCAATAAGGACTTGGTTGTGCATGATGAAACAAATCACCACCCAATAAAATAAAATCTACTTCATTTTTAACAGCAAGCTGAAGTATTTCTTCAAAAGTATCGAATGTATCGGGCCCTCTTACCGGATTATCTTCGGCATAACCTAAATGTATATCAGTTGCTACCAATATTTTAAACATATCTTCATTGTCACATATGCTATTTTGACTCGTATCCTGGGTAGTCATGATTGGGTAATTAAAGACAAACAATTTCCTTTATCAAAAGTGGTATATAACAATAGATTGAAAACAAACAAAACCGCGAAGCCGCGAAATTTATTTTTATTTTAACTACAAAATTAATAGGAATGAAGTTAGCAAATGCCAAATATTTATAATCGAATTTACTCGCACATTCATTGGCGGAGATGCTAGCTGATACAAAGGTTGAAAGGTTTCTTAGACACTACACTTGAATAAATAAATGTATTGAACTGGGAGTATTAATATAAAGGTAGATAAATTTTGAGAAATAGTGAAGTATTGTACGTAGTTTAGAAAATAAGAGGAAATAAAAGTATCAACATTTGAATATGCAATTCCTGTATAAGAAAAAAAGAAATGTTCTATAGTCGGACAATTTTCAATTAAAGGTGACTAATCTACAAAGTGAACTAAACGGTAGCGGCAACCATGTAAAATTTCTTTTTTAATTTAATTAGTAAATTCTTACCGGAGTCATTTTTATTGTGTATGCTTAGCCCATGTAAATATCTAAACTTGTAATCCAATGTAAGATAAATTTGCCCCCGTAACAATATAAATTGGTGCGATTCACGAGTGTATAGTGAGACAAGTTCATTGAATAGTTTGACACATCGGTAAACTTATCAATATTTTGCTGGTCTATATATATTTACGTTCTTAGAAAGAATGTTAATGAGAGAAATATGATATCTTAGTTTATTCCTTCCAGATTATATACATATGTACATAGGCGTAGTGTGTTCTTGGGAATATATTTATTAAATAGACTTTATTATTAACTTTAAAATAGTTTTGAGGTAAGTAAACTAAATTTGAGGCCAGTTTATTCTTTATATAGTATTAAACCCTTAACGGCTGCTCAATATACAAAGAGAAATTTGACAATTAATTTATTAGATTGGATTAAAAACACATAAATTAGGACTAATTTACAACCAAAAAGATTTTTTTTTCTCATTTTCAAGGAAAACAGTACAATTTTTAATAAGGAACATATTGTATCTTAAACGTAAATTAAATTTTAAGCTGAAAATTTTCGAAACATTCGGGGTGTACATGCATTCTACACTTTTTACATAAATAAATAGTATTACTTTTGTATATCCTACATTTTTGCACATCGTCTCTTTTTGTAATGTGGCCAATATTGTCGAATCTGGTTTCATCTGGTAAAGCAAATTTAGATTGACGACCATGTACTAAGTGACACTGATGTAGCGGATTCTACACTAATATAAATTAAAATTATAAATCCATGTCGGCTTATGCTTTATCTTATAATATGCACTTCTTTATCCTCATCCTTTGACCAATTCATATTAACTTGAAGCAGAGTGTAAACCAGATAATATACATATGCTAATAATTTTTTTTAAATCATGTAACTTATTTCAAAATTGTGACGGTTATTCTGGGATGCATAAATATTTGTAAAATATAGAATGCTCTCAATTACTTTTTTTAACAAAAAGAGTGAAAAAACTTTAATATATGACTTGCATACATGGTAGGCTTTGCCAAGTAATCACCTTCAATTAAAAATTGTTTAAATAGTATAAACATGTTTTGACATGAAGCAAAATCGCCTTTTGCTTTATTAATTCTGCTTAAAGATGTTCCGCCGCGAATTAACATTAAATTAATATGTTATAAATAATATAAATATTTTGCAATATTCGTAACAGATTCGCGGTTGTCCCATTTTTAAGGACTTCGGATTAATCTTTCAAAATAAAATGTTTCCCTTCAGCCATACTATTAAAAACTACGTAAATTGACAAACTATATGCAGCCTGTCTCGAAGAAAATCCAAACTAAACTAAAACAAACGATAATAGGCGAGCTCCCGATTATCTAGCGCTACCAACTATTAATTGACAAATTATGGTAGTATATTACCATTTACCAGTAATGACCCTAATAGCACACGTACGTCCAGTGGACGTCTATAGTTCGTCCCTCACGTACTTTAAAGTCCCTCGAACGCCCGCTTTGGTCCCAAGGACGTCCTATATTGGTCCGAATGTCGCTGCGTCAAACTCCATTCCAGTATCCGCTTTGTCATTAATTATAACATAATCAGTGTAAATTAGTAGAAGTTGAACGACCAAACAGGAAACCATGCTGACCAGTATGAAGCTGATCCTTCAGATGTACTGTCAAAAAATCAGTCAGTAAAGCCTCGAAAATTTTAGGAATAGCAGAAAGGATTATAATGGGATTGTCATGGAAAGTAACCCTCAGTGAGAGATTTATTAAAAATAAGCCATTGTGGCCTACATAAAAATAATGCATAATTTGTTACATTAGGAATGTCCTACGATTAATTTTCGCATGAGGCTCCTGGTTCGAAAAAATACAAAATTAAATTTCTACTACAAAAAATTGCTTTTGTATTAAAATACACAAATATGACTTTAAAAGTTTTATTTAATTCAGTTTCCTTCGGTGATACAAATTCGACTAACTCTAGGCAATTGTATACATTCTTATAATATGATATTCGATACTCCCTACATTCTCAGACGAAAAAGTCATTAAATTTTAATTGTCTTCACCAGCCCTCAGCCGGAGAGATGATACGTTGATTAGGGGATTTTTAAAATAAACGTTAAGTATTAACTGCTACCTTTTGTTGTCTAAATCGTAATAGAACAGAAGGAATCAGTTTAATAAGATTAGGCCCTACCTCCAAACACTGATTTAAATAAGGGTAACCCTGTTCATGAGATGATGCGTCAAAGACTGGCCTAATTTTTGTGGTTTCACTATTATTTTTAATAACGGGCCTGTTGAGGTAAATAATGCAAGCAACTATTCTCTTCAGGATTATTCACTATTTCAATCACACCCTCGTTCAACCACTCATTGAATATAATGTAAGATTCAAACAAATAAGACCTTTTCAACTTATTTAAAGTATTATCTAACCTTCTCCTAGCGACAACTAAATTATCTGAAATTAAAGGATGCTCGTTCAACCAAGGTAACATAACTTCATACCTGCTTCGCTGTCACATCATACAGTCTGTTAGAAAAAATTCTTAGCCTCTTTGGCTGCCACCTCTCGTGTCATTTTTTCTACAGGGTCGGTTATCCCAATAAGATCAAGCTCCCAGAGTTTCGCTACAGAAGAATTATTAACAAACAACGACAATGTAATCATACTTGTACTAAAATTAGAAGCAAATGCCGGCACCTTGCCCATAATAGTCCAACCTAACAAAGTTTCAACTGCTACAAGACCAAACTGTAACTGATAGTTCCTCCCTGTATACAATTTGCCTACAATATAAGCTCCAAACAAAATCTCAATTGGTGCTGTCTTTGGTCTTTCCGACATCTTCTTCTTCTTCTTCATGTACCATGTCCTTTCAGAACGTTGGTTACCATCATAGCTATTTTAATTTTATTCACTGCCACCCTAAATAGCATGCTTGTATCTACACCATACCAGTCTCGCAAGTTCTTCAACCATGAGGTTCTTCTTCGTCCTGGACTGCGTTTGCCTGCTATTTTTCCTTGCATGATGTTTTGTAGCAATCTATATTTGGGACCTCTCATTACATGTCCGAAATATTCCAGCTTTCTCTGCTTGATGCTTTTTATGATCTCAGTAGTCTTGCTGAGACGTTCTAGTATTGTGGAGTTACGAATCTTCTCCACCCAGGAAACTTTTAAAATTCTTCTATAGCACCACATTTCGAAAGCCTCGAAAGTTAAAGGCGATTTAGATCGATTTTATTCATAGTCCAGGACTCGACAGCATAAAGTAAGGCCGAGAACACGTAGCAGCGAAGTAGGCGGATCCTTAATGCCAATTTTAGGTCTCTGTTACATAACACCTTGGACATCCTTCTAAAAGCAGCTCTAGCCTGCTCTATTCTGGATCTAATTTCGCCGTGATTTTCTGCATTACAATTTAATTGCTGTCCAAGGTAGACGATTTTATCAACTTGCTCAAGTTTGATATTATTTACATATATAGACGGTTTTATATTCTGTTGTTTACTTATTACGAGTATTTTGGTTTTCCTTATGTTAAGATCTAGACCTGCCTCCCTACAACTCTCAACGACACTATCAAGTAGTGTTTGCAGATCTTCTTGACTAGAAGCTAGGAGTACTGTATCGTCCGCATATCGCAAATTATTGATGACTTCGCCGTTCACAAGTATTCCTTCTTGTTTTTCAGAAAGTGCTTTTCTGAAAATTCTTTCGGAGTAAACGTTAAAAAGCAGGGGTGACAAGAGGCATCCCTGCCGTACTCCTCTTTTAATATTGAGAGCTTGTGATTCCACACCATCTACTAAAACTGATGTTGTTTGATTCCAATATAAATTTGCAATTATTCGAACATCTCTGCCGTCCAAGCCAATGTCTTTTAGAGCTTCGATCAATATAGAGTGCTTAACACGATCAAATGCCTTTTGAAAGTCAATAAAACAACAGTATATGTCTACAGATATATCACGACATCTTTGAGCAAGTACGTTCATTCCAAACAGTCATTTCCGACATCGCTGAGTGAAATATTCATGTCTCTGAGTTCCTCAATTCAAGCGCCGTCATAAAGAGAAGAGATATCTGCACAAATTTTTCGTTGATCCAAGTGAGAGCGCCCAACAAACTGGCGTGGCACGTAGCAAGTGGCAAGTAGCACGCGTCTAGCATGTTTCTTAAAATGTAACCAATGAAAACGAATGATTCAGCGTACACCAAAATGACAGTGACGTCATTCATTCTAATCATTCGTTTTCATTGGTTACATTTCAAGAAACATGCTAGACGCGTGCTACTTGCTACGTGCTACTTGCCACGCCACTTTGGTGGGCGCTCGCCCTAAGGCATCAAATGAACAAGCGTAGGTTCCTTCTACCGCCAAATAATGCATGTACAATCTTTTCCGTTCCCTTAGCAGAAAAACCCATTTCTTGCGCGGTACTTTGTAAAATATATGTCATCTGCGATCCAGTGTCAATAACTGCCCTTACTTGTTTATTACCATGTGAATTTCTTATGTTTATTCACAGAATTTGTAAAAAAAACTGTGTATTATTCAAATTAGTCT